GGATACATGTCCATAATAAAAGAGACAAGCGAAATTAGTGGCTAGTCAGCAAGCTTGATATTTTAAAGTGATCTTATCAATACTTATGGAGATTTAAAACAAAAATAATTGTTCTAAACAGAAATAGATAAATTACATAGCATAAGCTGCATTCCCTAGAAATAACCTGTTGCACAGTAGATAAAATATATTTAAATATATAGTAGATAGAGTAATTGAACCTTTTCTTGAGTAAAGATTTTGAGTAGTCTGCACGAGCCTTTAGGGAGCTCGCTTTGGCTGTGAGGGTGACTCCGACCGGGAGTGGAAGTAGCAACGGTCTTCCTTTACCTGAAAACATTAAACAAAGAGCACAAATAGGTTGTTTCTGCTGCTTTCCTATTTAGTTTTTAGTTAAAAAAGGCTTTAATGTAGTGTTTAGTTCCTTTTCTAATAGGTCTACAATCCTAGAGGTTTAGAATGTCTGAATTTGTGTATAGGCCAGTGTTAGCAAGTTAGTCAGAAATAGTAATATATTACTAGTTACTTGTTACTCCTTCAAAAAGATTTATTTTATTTCTTACTTCTTACTGAGTGATAAAAGTAACTAGGTACGTTACTATAGGCTATTACTTTCCAGTGTTTCCCACAGAATGGGGGGGGGGTTCTGACTTTGGACAGGTTTGTGCCTGGTGTTCATGAGAGAGAGGGAGAGAGAAAGGGCTACTCAATCAAATATGATTTGGAATCCGCCTATTAAAAAAAAAAATTAGAAAATTGACAATTATCCAAATTATAGGCTAATTATGGGAAACACTGCTTTCACTACCACCCCCCTTCACCGCCAAACAGCGTCTCTCCTTTTTAACTAATATCATATTCAACAGCAGCAAGGAGTGTGGTTTTTGCAAAGCAAAGCCTAGGCCTAACGTTTAATAAAATACTAATAATAATAATAGCAAGTAAATCCCAACTTCTAAACAGCTGTTTACGTCACATAGCCCTTTATAAGAGCAGTTAAAAAACCTTAAAACGTGTTGAACCGGTTTGCGGATGTTGGGTTGAAGCCTGGAATATACTCGGGAGCGGACATGGACTACTTCTGTTTATAGTACTTCACACATGCGCAGAAAATTGGTTGGTGCCCTGGTAGCGCTACGCTTAAGTTTTCTCTCGTTTGGTGGGAGTATCAGAGGTGTTAACCAGTCAGCAGCGATGTGTGTAAAACACATCCGTTTCAATCAGGAAACTGTAGCAAAGCGGAGCACCACGTTAAGAGACAGAACTCTTTTTTTGAAAATTATTACATATACAAAAACATGAAATTGAGTTGTCGCATACTGCAAAAAGGATAAGGTGCATAATAAAAGATAAGGAAAACCAAAAAGAAGTTTTTTTCCCCCAAATTATGTTCTGCTACTAAAAAGCCTTATTGCATCCTTTGTTTTCATAATGTTAAGGGCTTTTGTAAAGGAAAGAAATTCATTATGAAATACACAAAACATAGGTTTCACTCTCGAAAACTTTGACTTGTGAATATAAAATTTCCCAAGAATGAATTCATTAATGAAAAAGGGTGCCAATTATCAATAGAAATAAGATCTTTTGGGGGGTTAGGGAATTAACGCAATCATACCTTGTGTTGGAAAAGGAGGAAGAGTTCCTTTTTCAGTACTTTCTAATATGACTTCAAGCAGAACGGGGCGAAATATTCTGTAAAGGGCTGATACAATTCTGCAAAAAGGACATTTGATTTATTAGTTTGAGATTATCAGTTGTCTAAAAGACTTCTTCGGTAGTTACATTTTCATCCTTCTCTCATCTTGATAAATGAGTGATATTAAGGGAGTTCAAAAATGCAGTTGCTGTTTGCTGAGAATATTTTGATTCATATGGATTAATATAAAAATTTGAGCAATAATAGTTTATTATTTTCATCATCAGTTACAATGCCATTACATAATATAAAGTTACAGCCTGTTCTCGTGCTCAGGCGTCACATGTACACGCAATAATAATAATATAAAATTGTTAATTGAAGTAATGTAAGAATTAAAGGGGTAAGAGTACATAAGTTTTACTTCTTCCTACTCCTTTTTGCACATGTGATAGGTATGTTAACACATATGGTACTTCTCATCCTACCTCACCGGGAGAACTGAGCATGTCACCTTGGGAGAGGCTAAATCCCTGATACACAACGTCACCTGTGGTGTCCCTCAAGGCTCAGTGCTCAGCCCCACCCTTTTTATTCTCTACATGCTCCCCCTTGGCCACGTCATTAGCCGGCATGGAATTTTATTCCACTGCTATGCTGATGACACTCAACTCTACCTAAGGACAAACCCATCCACCTCTGCTGCCCTGCCATCATCCACTCTGACCACCTGCCTGGAGGAGATAAAGGCGTAGATGAAGAAAAACTTTCTGCAGCTAAACAGCTCCAAGACTGAAGCCATCTTAGTTGCACACTCCGCACCAGATTCGGTCATCTGACATTACCAGCATCACCTTCTCTGGCCAAAATATTCCACTTTCAACATCAGCCACTAACCTGGGTGTTAAAATGGACTCTCATCTAACCTTTGAGGCTCACATCAAACATCTCTGCAAGACCTCCTTCTTCCACCTCAGGAACATCGCCAAACTCCGTCCTATACTCACTCCTGTAGGCTGGACTACTGCAATGCGCTCCTCACCGGGATCCCTGAGAAAAGCCTTCAGAAGTTGCAGTACATCCAGAACAGTGCTGCTAGGATTCTGTTGAAGGTGCGCAAATATGACCACATTACCCCCATCCTCAAATCACTCCACTGGCTTCCTGTCTCACTCAGGATTGAGTACAAGGTCTCCCTCCTTACCCACCAGTGCATCCATGGTGAAGCCCCACCCTACCTCAAGGAACTCCTCACCCCACAGACCTCAACACGTACCCTCCGATCTGCCTCAGCATTTCTCCTGAAACCTCCCAGAACCAATCTCCGTACAATGACAGATCAGGCTTTCTGCTCAGCTTCTCCCAGTCTGTGTAATGGTTCTCCTTGACTGTGGATGCTTTTTATCAGGCCTTAAAACCCACCTTTTTAGGAGAGCTTTTGATTGAACTCTTACCGTTTTTCTTCTTATTTTTTTTAATTTTAATTTTATTTTCATGCTCTCCATGTGTTTTTATTTTTAGCACGCACCTGTCTTAACATGTAGGGATTTGTGTAAATATAAAGTGCATTACAAATTACATTTTTTATTCTTATTACTTTTGCTGCTCATGTCAATTCAATTCAAAAATTGGAAAAGCTGTGTAGCTCACGAAGCTCAACCTGCCCATGGAGCTGCTGATCCACTTTTACACAGCCGTCATCCAGTCTGTCCATCACTGTCTGTTTTGGATCTGCCACCAAAAAGGACAGGAGCAGACTACAACGGACAGTCAGGACTGCAGAAAAGATCATCTGTGCCAATCTTCCCTCCATTCAGGACTCATACATTTCCAGAGTCAGGAAACATCACTGCAGATCCATCTTGCCCCGGACACAACCTGTTCCAGCTCCTCCCCTCTGGTAGGCGCTACAGAGCACTGTACACCAAAACCAACAGACTCAGGACTCACAGCTGATTTCTGACTCAGTGTCAGGAACAATTCCTGTGCAATAACCCAGTAACTCTGTCTCTAATCAGCCACCTGTTTACTGGCTAACACTTATTATTTATTCATACTTCTCTATTTCAGAGCTGTACATACTGTTATATTGTCATTTTGTATATTGTGTATACTGTATACCAAATCCACCTACCGCATGTACATAACATCTGCACATAATACCATATATTCCAGCATCCTTTGCACTATGCTCCATCACTGTCCATGTATGCTTGTACCTGTATTTAATTTACTCCTCCTTTGCACTCTGCTCATTGCACCTCTGTCTCAATCTGTCTATATTATTTTTGTTTGTAGTGTGTATAGATGTGTTCTCTATACTGTAGCCTGTGTCTGATTTTATTATTGTATAATAAGCACGTCGTGAGCAATGTACAATCCTGAGTCAAATTCCTGTATGTGTACACATACCTGGCAATAAAGCTGATTCTGAGGTAATTAATCAGGTGAGAAGCAGCCTCATTAAAACAGCCATTTCTTTAGTATTTTTTTGACATGCACATTCAAACACCACCATCCACAAAACGGAACATTTAAAAAAAAATCAAGACACAGACCGGTGACAGGAGAAAATAAGTGTGATCATATTTTTGCTTTGGCCTTTTAAAAGAAACTATACAAAAATAATATTAATTTCTATCCTAAATTGTTGGAACATGGATTCACAATGAAATATTAATGACTAATTATAAATTTGTAGACAGAAGTTGCAAATATTAATATTTGTTACCATCGTCTTACAATCCATGTTATCACTGAGCAAATGAATCATTACACACATTATGAAGACTTTATATTGAAGTACAAATATAACATTTTATTTCCAAAAAGATACTTTTACAGTCATTATCACAGGAGTGAACCTTTTTGCCTCAGGTAACAGTCTTCACACTTTAAATATAATAGCTGGATAACAATACTTTAATATTTGACGTGTACAAAAGAGTCAAAGACTCCAAAAGAAAAGATTACATTTGCCAAAGTTTAGCTGCAGAAAGTTTTGCTTCATCCACGCCTTTATCTCCTCCAGGCAGGTGGTCAGAGTGGATGTTTTCAGGGCAGCAGAGGGGGATGGGTTTGTCCTGAGGTACAGTTGAGTGTCATCAGCATAGCAGTGGAATAAAATCCCATTTGTCTGCCATTTGCAACAATATCTCATGAATTACTGTACTCACAAAAAATTTACGAGAAAATAATGTATTTACAGAATGTAAATGCTCCGTATTTGTATAGCGCCTTCCTAGTCTTTTCGACCACTCAAAGCACTTTTACACTACATCTGCATTCACCAGTCATACACTGAGTCTAAGTGCTCAAACCGAAACTAACATTCACACATATTCATACACTGGCGGAACAGCGACCAGGGGCAATTTGGGGTTCAGTATCTTGCCCAAGGACACTTTGACACGCAATCAGGGGGAGCTGGGGATTGAACCGCCGACGTTAATGGCCAACCCGCTCTATCTCCTGAGCCACAGCCGCCAGTAAAACTCTGCTATCAAATTCCTCATTCGAAGTCCTATTAGACAATCTGTCTATTTTGACCTACTGAGCATATTTTATACAATAAAATACAATAAAGATGTTTACAGAAGACTTTTTTAAAAGGCAGCCATAGATTTTCATACACTTCTAGACTTATAGACTTTAAAACACATCTATTGAAATAATTGTCAAAGTTACATTTTCTGTCAGTAGTAATAAGCGCACAATGAGTTTAACAATGAAAGCAAACATAATGTTTCAATTCAGCAATTCTCAATTCAATGTCATTGAAACCATACAAGTTTGTTGACTGGAATGGGAAGTATACCATGATGAAATTATGCAACATTATGTTACAGCAACATTTTTAAATGTCTAGTTAAATGATTAGCTGGAGTCTTCACTTTATTAAAGTTTGAAAAAAATTCACTTAAACCCTTTAAGAGGCCGTGGAGACATTTTAAACTTTTATATTTAAATATCAATTTTGTTCTGTTGGTTTTCGACTTCCCCATTTGTTGAATGGGTAATGGATCCAGAAACTTCTGTCGTCACAATCATTGGCTGCAGGGATGAATAGAAGAAATAGTTATTTTTTTAATATTATAGCTATATGTACACAGTATTGGGTTAGTGTCCACACACACACACACACACACACACACACACACACACACACACACGGGAAATATTGAGGCTCATCTGCTACAACCTGTTTTTATCTGTACATTTTTTTCACATTTCTTTTTTACCTGTACATCATCTTATGAAAACTCACTTCTGAGTCAGGGTTGTAACAATCTAAATATCATTCGCACAAAAACACTTAAAAATTCAGGAATAACATTTTTAGAACACAGAGCAGAGAAATAAACCACTTACCTGAGTCAGCATTTACGCCCATAAGTGGTGGACCTGTTAATGAAGAATACACAAAACCATTTTTATTAATTTAGATATTTTTGTAATAGCCCACGAACAGCTGACTAACTTCAACGATAAGGTTGGCGTTATTCATTGTTTCAATTTTTTCTCAATAAACCACATGAAAACACCAAAAGCAAAGAGTTGAGTTAAACCTTTATTGTTGGGAATTAGGTATTACCTAAATGACAAAACTGGCCACTAATGTTTGTGTGACCAGAGCTCTACAGAGCGTATTTCAGTACTAAGTAGGGCTGAACGATTTTGGAAAATAATCTAATTGCAATTTTTTTTAATCAATATTGCGATTTAATATGCGATTAATTTATAAGCTCTTTACCTTCTTATTCAAAATGGACAAGCAGTAATTTGGTGTATAGTATGACCAACACAATATTAGACAGACAGAACTACACTGTTCTTTCTTGTGTTATGATGAACTGGGTAGAGTTATTATTTTGATTATCATGAACAATGGTGGAGAAGATATATCAAGTTATAATAATATGAGAAAGATAATTAGAGTAAAGTCATAGCATTAAATAATATGATGTATCATCAGGTCGGCCTACCTACAGACCACAAGAAAAACTAACTGACCACAGTGTGTTATACAGTAAGCACAACCCACAGTCCAACCACCAATTAATGTCCTTATCTCAGTTCAAATCTCTTAGTCCATCTTTCTGTATCACAGTAAGCAAACAAAAAATACTCAGTTTGAGGTTCAATTCAAAAGTCCCCCCCCCCCCGCCGCCTCCGATGCTGGTGAGAATCGCACCGGCTGTAACCAGGCTGTAACTCGGGACAGACCGGGCCTCTTTCGGACTTGTGAGTTTGGTTTGAACGCCGTTTCACACATATTTCCTGAGCTGACTGGTGGCTGTGTGTGTGTGATGCAAGCGCCAATCGCCACAATACGCTTAGCTTACTACACGTGTCTTTCTGTTGTGCATTTTTTCTGTGCGTCAAAGCGGCGGATGGCCCGACGATTTCACCTGCCAAAAACCACCAAGTTACCCGCAGGTGGCAGCTGCTACTTTCATTCCTTGTGTGACACTAAAGTTTCTGTAGTTTTAGCTTCTGTCAAGCTTAAGGCCGTTGTACAACAAGAAGGCCAGGTACAGCCTAACGTGACAAAGACGAAGTTGGGACGGATGACAGCGGAAATAAAGGATCTTGTTGGATTCTCCCAGATGGAAGGCTCTGATGCTGGACAAATGTTTTCAAAGCAAAGTTGTCTGTTTACTGCTGGACAGATAATTAAGTTAGAGCAACTTTAGCAAAGCAAATTAAAACTGTAGTTTGAGAGCTTCAGCTGGAAGATGGGCATAATTACTGAGAGAAGTGACAATGTTGTAAAATATATAGTTGGATTGTAATTTCTAATGTTATTCTCCAGCGCTGTGTTTTGGCTTTGCTAGTGGACAGAAATGTGTCGGTTACATTCGCGAGACAATCAGCCGATTATTATTGGTAAACAGACAGTAACATACAGCACGCAAGTTCAGATCATCCAGCTAAACCTTACATTATACTGCCCTGGTGGAAACATTTATTTATTTTCACTGTTAACGGACAGTGAGTGAGGAGTTTGTTGCAATTCGTTACCCTCACCACTAGATGTCACTAAAACTCACACTTAACCTTTAATGATAGAAATGAAAGGGAGAATACGACTCCTGAACTAGAGAACAGGTGCTGGAACAAATAATAACATTGTTCCTCCATCTTTTAACCTTGATCTGAACTTTATCTTAGTGCTGATCCGTCTGTTTCCAAGTCATGTTGATGATGTTTGAATATTTAAAGTTCAGCTCATCAAACTTGCTGAAGTTCAAACCCAGCCCCCGTACTGCCCTGCTCAGGCTCACTGCTAAATGTATATATATATATACATTTATATACATATACATATATATACATATATATATATATATATATATATATATATATATATATATATATATATATATATATATATATATACATACATACATACATACATACATACATACATATATATACATTTATATATACATATATATATATATACATTTATATATATACATATATATATATATATATGTGTATTGTATATATAATATATATATATATATATATATATATATATATATTATATATATATATATATATATATATATATATATATATATGTGTATGTGTGTATATATATATATATATTATATATATATATGTGTATGTGTGTATATATATATATGTGTATATGTGTATATGTGTATATATATATATATATATGTGTATGTATATATATATATATATATATATATATATATGTGTATATGTGTATATATATATATATATATATATACACACACACACACACACACATATATAATAATATTGAGGCCAGATGCTACAACCTGTTTCTATATGTATATTTTTTACATTTCTTTTTTCCCCCTGTACATCATCCGATGACAAATATATTTAAAACCACCACCATTAACTGAAATGCATTACTTTTAGGAAACTCTATAATGTGGCACGCGAGAACTACAAGACCTTGGGCCGAGTACAGACAGCAGCTTTGCAGAGAGCACACAAACCAGACAACATTTCATTTTGTTCAGCAATCAAGTTACAGTAACCTCTGAACAGCGAACTTCATCAGACTTACAGAGAAATAAAGTTGTTACCTTGTGCATGTCCGTCATCATTTCTGTGTCCAGCTCCTGTGAATAAAGACAATTTTAACACAGACTGTAAGTGATCACACATGAAGTCAATGACATGGTCTAAATCTGCATCAGACTATCAGTCTATTGACTTTTAAAATACACAGGGTTAAAGTTCACAGTTTGAACTTTGATTCGATTTGAGGACAACATAAAGTGTTCACTTAAATTGTTTGAACTTAAAATTTTCAAGTTTGATTTACTTAATTATGAGGTGAAAAATAAGAAACACCCTTGCCACTTAATGACTGACAGGACAGCTATTCGATATGACCTCTGAAAAATCTCATGAAGTCCTTCATGAATTAGTAAGAGATGATTTCACACATACACACCACTTCCTTTTGCCCTGCTGTAAGTACTTAGTAAGTGATGTAAATACAGTTTACTGAATACTGTATTACAGTATCATTTAGGGAAAAACTCAAATTAATAAATAAACCTAAAAAAAACACAACCAAAAAATACAAAACAATCATTCATTAACTGTAGGGCTGTCCCCGACTAAGGATTTACATAGTCGAGTCGGAATCGCACCCCCATATCGCCAAAATTGCGTGAACCTTGTTTCACTGCGAAGCTTCGACTGTGAGATTGACAGTCGAATCAGGCTCCGCCCATCGAAGCATTGAATCTTTGGCTATTTGGGGTCAGCCGTAATTAATAGTACTCAAGGTTAAATGTTCAATTTATTGTGATTTTGATACTAGGTCATATTATTCAGCTCTAGTATCATTTATCATGAAACTCTATCTAACTCTATTACTTATTAATGATTATGAAATTCTGAATGAATTCTTTTTAAAGTAATTTAATGTTCAGTTTTTCAGATTGTTGTCAGATTTTTTTTGAAAAGCCGGCTATCATAGATGGAGAGACATTTTTGTGGAATTAAATGTTTTGTGTATTTTCTTTTACAGAATATAAAAAATACATTCCACTCCACTGCTATCTGGTTTATAATGGATGTATATTTGCCACCTACCATTTCTGAATTTACTGTACAAGTAAACAGCCAGCAGCACCACAACGGCCAGCACCACAACAGCCAGCACCAGCACCACCACAGTAAGGATGGTTGATTGTCCAGGTACATCAGGAGGTAGTTTATGATCTAAAACACAGAAAACAATAGTTTTATATTCACTTCACTTTCAACATCATTTCTATTAGTTAGGTTTAATTTACTGTAGAGTTGATACAAACGTGCAGAAGCTGAGTGACAGTATTGCTGCATTTTGGTTTAGTGTTGTCACAAGACTGGAATTTCTGATTTCGATACCAGGGTGGAAAACTGACACAACCTTGATTAAATTACTGAATCTAATTACTAAATAATCTAATCAACTTATCTTAGAAATGAAGTAAAGTTAATAGTATATACGGGAGTGATGATGACGTAGTGGATAAGACACATACCTTTGGTGTGAAAGACCAGGGTTCAATTCCCTACTGTGACACATCCACCAGTGTTTCCCTGAGCAAGACACTTAACCCCTAGTTGCTCAGGCATATATAGCAAATGTAAGCCACTTTTTCTTTATCAGGGACAAATGCATGGGACATCACTTTATAATTTATACTAAAGTCACGTTTCGACCATAGTTACCCGGGACTTTTAAGGCCCCAAACTAAAAGGTTCCTTCGGCCCGCTGTTGAGTGCGTTTCCACTGTGGTTTAAAGATCTGCGAAGATTAGGCAAATTAACCAGCTGATGTAGGCTGTAGGCCTGCATGCTGTACAAAGCGATGCACAGGAATCATTATTTGTAACCGCTATCCATGAGAAAAATTTATAAATGAACAGGTCAGGATCAGGTTTGATTGGAATATAATGAAAAACTGAAGCCTATGCTTGACCATTAAAGCTGCTTTTTTGTAGGAGAGTATAATATACACACGATAAAGTTTGTTACAAATTTAATAACAAACTGGATAAAGCCATAAAGTTCTTAAAATAACTCCATCACAGAGAAAGCAGCAGAAAAACAACATCGCAACAGTTTGGAAGGTTATTAAAACATTTCCAGCGACAAGAGCTTCAGACCAGCGGCAGCATCACTTCTGTGTCGCCTGAGCGTCGGAGGAACAGGATTTTAACGAGCTTTATTACCAGCTGTAATCAGCTGTTCAGCTTGTTTTGGAGAGAAAGAGACCGACTTCGGGTCTGTGTAAAAACTTCGTGACTGATGAAAACTTAAAACAACAACTCAGGACCCAGTACTTGGTGTAACTCCATCAGCTATAAGCTGTAAACACGCCGCTGCACGCTGCCTGTTATCTTTGAGCAATATATCTCAGGCGAACATCGGCGAGACACGTGTGCTATATGACATTTGATTGTGATTTATTGGTGTGCAAACAAAGGTGGAAAAGAGACGAGCAGTAGTACAAAAACAGCTGACATGCACCTATTAAAGTCAGTAGCCTCCACTCGCCCATTCAGAAATTCACTGGAAGGCAAGCTCCACCCCCATCAAAGTTCCTCTGGAGGAAACGCAGTGAGTTCCTCCAAAAGGTTCCTAGTTCCGGGGTTTAGTTCCTTTGGTTGAAATGCAGCTAAAGTAGATGCCATGCAGGTTTCTAGCCATGATTAAATTGCAACCCCTGTCCCTGGTTAAATTAGTTCTGACTTTAGTCAAAGTCTTTTCCTATCAACTGAACTCTGCTGTCGCTTGCATTTGGGCTTGTTGTATCCTTTGCCGGCATCCAATCACATGTGATGAGTACCAGCCAATCAAAGAACGAAAGACGCGTAAATAAACCAGAGCGAATAAGATGAGAAAATGGCGGTGGAGTTATGTGGACACTGCAGCGTTTGCTGTCGGGGAGAAGAGATCATGAGAGAGTGCATTTCAGGACAGATTCTGCGGAAAATAAATATTAACACGATTTAAACCCGATGTTGTTGACAACACTCGTTTGGTCAGATTTAAATAACATGAATTTAAATTTGTGCTGGTGAGAAACAAAAACAAACTCCTTTCTAATAGGAATGTTGTTGTGTTGCCTGATTTGAATTTGTCACCATAACAGACGGACATGAAGGCCAAAGTTAAAATATCAAAGTTAAAATAAACACAAACGATCTTTTGAGTCTTGGGGCTTCTTTGAGGCGAAGACGAAGAACTTTTGCTGAAGAGGTGACGTCAATCATATGAGATGCTTTCTGCAATAATACTAAACAAGCCAAATACCAAAACCAAAGAAGAAGAAGTTTCTTACCCCATTCCTTTTCAACATGTAACCTGGATGCAGGATGAGTCACTTCACAGGTGAATGTAGACGTGTCGCTCCTTAAAATCTCCACACTGTCTCTTCTCTGGAAGGTGTCGTCTTCATTTGGTCGAACGCCAAAGGAAAACACTCCGTCCTCTTTAGTTAGAACACGACCGTTTCTCTTGATGTTCAGGATGATGTCTTTTGGGTAGAAACCTGTGGCCAGGCACGTCAACATGACCTTTGACTCAACTGCAGTGTTCTTTGAGAACATGAAGACCTCAGGTGGAGCTGGACAGAAAAAAAGCAAAGTTGTTTGCTGTTGGCCAAACAGAAATGTACAACCAAGGCCCCGTTACCTGAAAGCATCTGAAGGCTACGATGATGATAAGATAGAGGCCTCCTACCCTCTCACAGGAAGAAGATCCTGAACTTGCAGAACGAACCAACTCAAACTACAAGTTTTATTTAAAGCTAGAGGGCAGGACTTTTACAAATGAATTAAAGTCTGTTACCAAAGGAAGGTTAAGATCAAATCAGTCCAGTAAGAACTGAAGAAGCATCTTGGATCAGCGGCGAAACATCTTCATGTATCTTTAAAGTCCAGTTGCATTGATGTGAACCCACCTTGGTTTTCATGACGTCATGTTTATTTTTGTTTATGGCTCCTCTGTTGTTGCCACACGTTTATATAAATTACAAATCTATAAAATGTTTACTGCACATTAAGTTTCATATTCAGAACAACTTCAAGTACAAAACTAATTTAATTATTATTTTACTTTCAAGTGGAGCCGAGAAGCTACTGTGCACTCGCTCTTAAGAAGGGCTTCTGCTTTGGGAAACACATGTAGAAATGGAAACAATATAATAATGAAAACAATTGTTATCAGGAAACAGGCCCAGTTCATTATTTTCTAGAAAATACATACGGGCGGTTTGTAGCTGCGTTTGCTCATATCCCACAAACTTGCTCAACGAATCCATGCACTCGTTCTCCAGGTACTGCCTGGTGACTTCTATTAGGACCTGGTTATTCCACTTCCTCTTGGGTTCGGATGGCTGCTTCAGTCACAGCAACCCAGACTTTGTTGGTGTCGTCGAAGGACAGGAAGTCGTTTCCATCGTAGCTGTAAATGTCCTTACCACGGTGAAACGTAATGCTGCCGTCAGGCTGCATGTCGCCCTCACAGCCGCTCATCCATTGAAGAACATGGACGTCTGAATCTAGAGAGACGGCCAGATAAGTAAAACAGCACAGTTTATGTATTATGAATATTTTATGGCACACTGACAGCACAGATAAATATTAATTGGGGCAGTTCATATTCAGTTTAGTACATCAACACACACGGGCAAACTGACTTCACTGAACACAAATAAAGGGATCAGTGTACTGCTTGTTGGGTGGTGGAATAGCAAAGATGGGCATTTCAAGCAAAAAATACTATTCGATGGTCACTGGGAACTGTTCAACCATTCTTTGAAGAAACCAACAGTCACACCATCTTCAGGCTGTGATTGGTCCGCTGGGTGAAGGTGAGTAAAGAGCCAGGGTTTGAACTTCTCTCTCAGCTCTGCTTTTTCTTTCTTTACACAACTATTTCTGTAACTTTTCGAGTAAACAACCGAGTGAAACATTATGAATGCCTTCCAGGAAAGATGGTCTGAAAATGTGCACCACTCTCAGCATATTTAAACGATACCACCCCTCCATCTATGATAGCCGGCTTTTCAACCTGCCTGTGAGTGTTAATGTTCAGGACAGCATTAAACACAAAAGATTTCCAATGCGGTCAAACAATAAGTTTTAAAAACTTTGTTATGAATGAGCACGCTATGCTAGCTTCTCTCTGAGGATGTACGTACGGTACGGTTTGATGTTAATGTAACCATAAATGATCAAGCTGTTGAACCTTGAAAAGTAAATATTCAAGCCATCAGGGCAATCATAACGGTGTTAAGGGCTTTCCCAAGGACTGAATTACAAAGGGTTGATGGTCCCCAACTCTGCCTAGTGCGACAGGGTTGTTGGACAGAAATTTAGTTCTTTGCTCTGTCATTGCATCTATGTCAGATATTAAACTAACCACACCCCTGTCTCGTTGTTTAATACAGGAGACCAAACAGAGTTCACATTTCATGGATCTTACCTGAGTCACTCTGTCTCATTCGTTTCATCAGGATGTCGAGGTTGTTTTTTAAACTCTGCTGCTTTTTCAGGCGGGACTGTGTTCCTTTGTCCCAGTAATCTGCAGGCAGTCTCTCTTTCATCCAGTCCTGTTTGGGAACTTTCTGCTGGTGATCGCTGTCAAAGTAGTCGATCATCCTGCCATCCAGCAGACCCATGGCTGAGAACTGGTGGATGCCCGGGAGTCCGACAGGTTTGGAGAAAGCCGTGTAGGTGTAAAAGAGGGAATGTGTCTCTGAGAGTCACACAGGTGGAAAGACACACAGATATTTATTCTCTGTTCCTGTAATTATTCATTACAATGCTAATGTTGATTCTTTAATTTATTACTTTCCTCGGGTTTAAAAGCACAAAAGGCAACAACATTCAAGAAAGGTCAACATCTGCTGAATGTTCTTCCATCCAAACAATTTTCTCTTTAGGAAGTCAATAAAAGCAACCTGGACCAACCTGGACGAGATCTGTCTGTCTGAAACATATTTACACAAATTAGCTATTTATTTTAGTCACTTAGTTGCAGCAGGCAGTAGTAGAGTAAATTAAAAAACAGAACTATTCCTTATTTTATTTGTAGGATCCCATTTCCTGCCTCACGTTAACGGGACTTACCGCTGTTGACTGTCAGTCTCGTCCCGAGCACGATGGAAACTGCAACCGAATAAAGTGTAAACACAAAGATGACTACCTTCATATTTTCAAAACTACATTCCGATCCATTGTTTACATAAATAGTACATAAATAGTATGTCGTGATCCCTGTTCAGAGATCTTTCCCACATGTCTCCTCTATTGGCAAAACTTTCCAGGACGTAGCTACGACATTGTGAAAGAAACGACTGTAAGAACAGAGTAAACTTCTTTTCAGTCACAGTTCCCCTCGAAAAAACTCGTTTCACTATCACAAGTGATCCATTTGGTCCGAAAGCATTTGGAAAGTCTAGAAGAGCCGCACGATTAAATCATTTTATCCCTTTCAAAGTTAGAGGACTAAAATCGAAAGTAGTTTGTCTCTAGTGCGCATGCTTAGTGAGTATCTTACTGGACGAAGCCACTCCGCTGATTTAAATGAGAGAAGTTTTGGACCAATAAAATACTCCTGCAGAGAACAAAGCAAAAGGAGCTTTTATAAGGTCACGTAGGAATTGGATGGAACAGGGAGAGAAAAACAGCAGATATTTCTTTACCATGGAAAAAAGTGCTTTCTACGAACAACTTTACTCAAAAGATAATAATCTCAAAGATCCAAATGAAATTTTTAACCTTATTAACTCACCTAACTGTGTGGATGAAGAATATAATAAAAGCTTCTGTCAGGACATAACTATTGAGGAGATTAATTGGGGAATAACTCAGTTAAAGAACAATAAATCAGCAGGCTGTGATGGCCTGACTTCTGAGATGTATAAATGTTTCATTGAGTCATTAGGTAAATTTCTTCTGGCTGTCTTCAAAGAATCTCTGGACAGAGGGGAACTCCCTCCCTCTCTGAGGCAAGGCGTCATAACACTTATTCCAAAACCTCCCAAAGACTCGATTAATTGAAAATTGGCGACCCATTACATTGCTAAATAATGACTATAAGATTCTAGCATCTATCTTAGCAAAACGTCTCAAATCTAAATTACACACTTTAATTGATGAATGCCGATCTGGTTTCATGAAAGATCATCACATAGCCAATAACATTCGCTTAGTTCTGGATCTGATGGAATACAAAGACTTTCTAGATGATGAACACCTTATCTTATTCTTAGACTTTCAAAAAGCTTTTGACACGGTAAGCCACAAATTATTATTGACACCTTAAAATTTTTTAATTTTGATCAGAATTTTATTAATGATGTGAAAACTCTGTACATGGGAGGAAACAGTTGTATTAAATTGGCGAATGGAACCTCACCTAGATTTTACATAAAGAAAGGGATCCGCCAAGGCTGCCCCACATCGCCTCTTCTATTTGTGACTGTAGCCCAAACTCTTTGTGACCTAATTCACAAGAATTCATTAAAAGGAATTACATTAAATTAAAGAGAAATAAAAATATCACAATCCTGTTTCTAATAAATGAATCCCAAATAGGAATTGCACTAAAGGTTGTGAACAAATTCTCTGAAAGCTCAGGCTTGAATCTAAATCTATCAAAATGTGAGCTGTTTTCTCTTAAAAATAAGCACTCAGGTCAAATATGTGGGATAAATATATAGAATTTAGTAACCTATTTTGGAGTAAAAATCAGTCATAATCACAAGTTACACAAGAGTAATCTCTCTTTACTGTATGACTCTATTAATAAAAAGTTTGATTCTTGGCTTACAAGAGATATATCTACATATGGCAGGGTTCTTCTTTCTAAAGCAGAAGGTCTCTCACAAGCAGCATATTTATTTACATCTATAGAAATAACTAAATTACAATGTGCCAATCTAGACAAACTATTATATAACTTTATATGGAGGAAGAAGCCCCATAAAATCAGGAAAAACATCTTGACCAATAAAATTCAGGAAGGGGGTTTATCGGTAATTAACTTCTCACTTTTCAATGAGATATTAAAAATCAACTGGTTTAAAAGATTTTTGAAAAATCCAAACAGTTTGTGGAACATTGTTCCAAACTTTATCTTTGAAAAAGTTGGTAAATCACATTCTTGCTTCAGTGCCCATACTCCATCAACAGACTGCCAATCAAACTTCCATAAACAGGCTCTAACTTGTTGGTCACTTTTGTACAAACACAATTTCTCCCCTCACAAATGTTTGATCTGGAACAACAGGAACATCAGACATAGAAGCAAGACTCTCTTTATACAAAACTGGTTTAAACATGACATTGTACTGGTATCCCAACTGTTAAATAACTCAAATCAAATTTTAACATATGACGACATCACTCATAAATTTAACTTCCATCCTCCAAGAAAAGAATTTGACGTTGTAACCAGAGCTATACCCCATGGGATCATCACCCTGCTTAGAGATGAAAAAGATTTGGATCAAATTAATGCATTTTTCTCCAGCAGTGTTTCAATAAATGGTCTATCTTTTCTAGACAGAAAAGTCAACAACAAAGTAATTAAGAACCTTTTATGTGCAAAATCTATCCCTGCATGCAGGTACAAATGGACCCCCCTGGATGAAAATATTAATTGGAATAGAGCATGGAGTAACCCACATAAATTTTTAATTACAAAGTTAAAGAAATGTCATTTAAAATTCTTCACCATTGTTACCCCTGTAACGAGATTATCTCGAAATTTATCCCTACTGTAGACGAAAAATGCTCCTTCTGCTCTCTGGAAACAGAAACGTTGGACCATTTATTCTATAGCTGTTACATAGCTCTTCTCTGTGGAATGATATACAATGCTTCGTTAATGGACACTCAAACGTACACTTATCCAATTTTGACATTTTATTTTATTTTTCTGATTCAAACTCCTCTGTACAATATATAGTCAATCTATTAATTTTGTTTGGAAAATTAATTATTCATAAATCAAAATTTATGAAGAACAAACCTCTTTTCAATGTTTTTAAATTTGACTTAAAAAATTATATAGTCTGTATTTCTGGATTAAAGGGTAAATCAGCATCAAAATGTTTATTTTTGATGTTTATATTTATCTAATTTAACTTTATAATTAATTTAACTGATATTTTTTGTTTGATACTCTGGCTGTATACTTTATTTTTGTTGTTTATAATTGTTTTTTTATATTTTTTTCACTGTTTTTTTTTCCTTATGAAAATGTGAGCTGTAACCATATAATTCTTGTAATAAAAATAAATAAATAAATAAATAAATACATACATACTACTACAGGGCTGCTTCCTGGTGACCCCCTGAACACCCTGCTGTGTACGCTAGCGCACTGCATTTTCCTGGCTTTTTAACGCGTTCTCTTTTTTTTTTATTGGAAGTGTCAAGATTTACAGACAAACACGGCTGCCCAGAATTTGTTTCTACAGAATAGGATAAGTAAAAAATATATCACATTGCATGAGAAAAACACATGGTCCGTAGTTTCGATATCACTTTCACAAAATGTGCATGTGTTGTCATTTATACCAAAGCGAAGTCTTAGTAATTCTGTAGAGGGGATAAATGTTGTTCATTACTTTGAAATGTGTTTCTTTCACTTTGGGGGGTATAGGGAGTGATAGATATAATGTTCTTAGTTTAGTAATTGAGTCTTTATCAAATTTTTGTAAAATGTTTTTATTTTGTCTTTCAGGGTAAAGGTATTCAGTAAAACAATTTCTGATAAAGTGGTTAGTGCATTTTCTATCCAGAACAGAGATTCCTTGAATTGATAGTGGGGCCAATTGTGGTTGTATTGGATGATGTAATAGCAGGAGACAGAACTGACCCAAACGCAACGCTGAGGGTTTGAAAAAGAGGTTTATTGAGGAAAAAGGGGGACGAGGAGGGACTGGAGGAAAGAAGGGGAGTGGTAGACGAGGACCCGGGGGACCGAGTAGCTGGAGGAGCGGAAGGTGCTTAGGCTGGACGTTCGAGGGAGGCAGGCGGACGTGGAGGAGAGGACGCGGTGACTGGGACCCGGTTGCAAGGGGGGAAGCCGGAGGGCGTCGTGGAGGCAGCGAGAGGAAGAACTAGGACGTGAAACAAAGGGAAATTTCAAAAGAGCCAGAATGAAGCGGTGACACTAAGTCAGGAGCTGCAACGATCGAGCAAGGATGGAGTGGAAAGCCGGGGTAGAAATACTGGTCGTGATGAGGCTGACGGCTGGCAGGTGCGGCGGCCGGGGATGGAGGTTAACGAGGTGCAGGTGTGGGTAGCCAGCCGGGCTCCAGAGCTGAGAGGGAGAGAGCACAGAGAGAGAGAGAAGGCACAGGAGAAACCAGAATGCGAGGCAAAGGAGAAACAGGACACTCACCAACAGCCGGGCTGTCACCGCGACAGGGCCCCCCCCCCAACGGACGCCTCTAGCTCGGTAGAAGTCAGTTAGGAGGGAACGATCCAGGATTTGGCTGGCAGGGATCCAGGAGCACTCCAGGTACCGGTAGCCTCGGCCTCTACGTCGCACGTCAAGGAGGCGACGTACAGTGTAAGCGGGGTGTCCGTCGATCATCCAGTGAGGGGGAGGCACTGCCACTGGTACAGAGAGGGAGCTAGTGGAGACGGGCTTGATGCGTGAGACGTGGAAGACCGGGTGGACCTTCAGGTGAGGGGGGAGGGTCAGGCGAACCGCGGAGGGGTTGATGACGGCCTTGACGGGATAGGGGCCGATGAACTGGGGGGCGAGTTTCTTGGAAGTAGTTTGCAGGGGGAGGTCTCTGGAGGAAAGCCACACTAGTTGTCCTGGCCGGTAGGCGGGGGCTAGAGTGCGATGACGGTCGGCCAACCGGCGATTGCGGACCATGGTGCGCTCCAGATGGCCGTGGCCTCCCTCCAGATGCGGCAGCAGCGGTGGAAGTGGGCCCGTACTGAGGGGACCGCCACTTCAACTTCCTGAGACGGGAACAGGGGGGGTTGGTAGCCCAGAGAGCCCATGAAGGGGGACATACAGTGGCAGCGCAAACCTGGGAGTTATGAGCGTATTCGATCCAGGAGATCTGAGAGCTCCAAGAGGTGGGTTCCTGTACGCCACACACCTGAGTGCCGCCCCCAGATCTTGGTTGACCCGCTCGGTTTGTCTGTTCGTCTGGGAGTGGTAACCTGAAGAGAGGCTGGCGGTGGCGCCAAAGGCGCGGCAGAAGGCTCTCCAGACCTGGGATGTGAACTGAGGACCCTGGTCGGAGACTATGTCTAGCGGGATGCCATGCAGACGGAAGACATGGTTGATGAGGAGGCGGGCGGTCTCCAAGGAAGTGGGGAGATTGGGTAGGGACTTCGATGCCGGTCGGTCGACGATGCTGAGGATGAACAGTGTTTCCGTTGGATTTGGGGAGACCGGTGACGAAGTCTAAGGCGATATGGGACCAGGGGCGACCGGGGACCGGGAGGGGGCGGAGCAGACCGGCGGGTGGCTGATGGGAGGATTTGGCGCGGGTGCACACCTCACAGGCGGCCACAAAGGACAGACAGTCCTTATCCATGGAGGGCCACCAGAACCGCTGGCGAAGTAGGAAGAGGATGCGGGCAACTGAATCTGGAGGCGTGCGAGGACGCTCGATGGAACGTAGAGGCGATTAGGGGGCTCGAGGCCGGGACCGGGTTCAGTGGACTGGGCGCGGACTCCACCTCCCAGACCACAGAGGCGATGAGGCAGGTGTGGGGCAGGATGGTGTCCGGGGGGTTCGGGGGAGTGTCCTGGAATAGAGTCAGGAGAGAGTGTCTGGTTTAGTGTTTCGGGACCCAGGACAGTAGGAGAGGGAGAAATTGAACCTATTGAAGAACAGGGCCCACCGGGACTGGCGGGAGCTTAGTCTTTTAGCGGTCTGGATATAGGAAAGATTTTTGTGATCTGTCAGGACTAGAAAAGGGTGTTCAGCCCCCTCTAGCCAGTGCCTCCACTCCTCCAGGGCCAGCTTAATAGCCAGCAGTTCTTGGTCCCCCACGGTGTAATTACGTTTGGTGGGGGACAGACGGCGGGAGAAGAAGGCGGAGGGGTGAAGTCTGTTATCCTTGGGAGAGCGCTGGGAGAGGCAGGCGCCGATGCCCACGTCCAAGGCGTCCACCTCAACCATGAACTGAAGGGAGGGGTCAGGG